TATGTATATCAACATCATCAGTCATTAAGAAAATGTAAATAAAAATCACAATGAGAGTCCGGCCAGTGTAGCTCAGTGGTTGAGCGTCAACCCATGCACCAAGAGGTGTCAGGTTGGACTCCTGGTCAGGACACATGCCCAGGTTGTGTGCTAAATCCCCAGTGAGGGGTGTGGGAGACTTTTTGCATGGCATCCATTCTGTTACAATCTGCTCTGCCATCTCCTGCCCCAAGGCAGGGTCTCTCTGCTTACAATGTCTCTGCATTCCTCTAGATAATTGTTTACTCTGCTAGCCATTCTTTGTTTATCATTTGTTCCACCTGGGGTATTTACTGGAATTTGCTTCAGGTGGAATACTCATTAACTGTTTCACCTGTTTTTGCCCTATATATTGTGTGAACTCCCCCAGAATAAACAAGACTTGATCAGAACCCTGTCTTGTCTCCATTTCTCGTGTCTCTTGTCCCTCCTCATCCTCACTCCCCCTCTAAAGTCCTCGTAGCTTGACCTGCGGGACGGGTCAGGGGGGCATGCAGGAGGTGGCCATTTATGTTCTCTCTCATTGATGTTTCTATCTCTCTCTGCTTCTCACTTCCTCTCTCTGTAAAAATTGATAAAGGGACAAAAAATTTTTCATAATCATAATGTGATGCCACTATACAGGTACTGAATGGCTAAAACTAAGACAGACAATTCAAAGTGTTGGTGAGGATGTGGAGCAACTGTAATTCTCATGCACTGCTGGTAGGAATGCCATTTGGAAAATCGTTTGGCAGTTTTGTACCAAGTTTAACATACATTTGCTATATGACACAGCAAGTCCACTCCTAAGTATATACTCAACAGGAATGGAAAAATATGTCCATATAAATACTTACACTTAAATTTTCATAGCCGCTTCGTGTATAAAAGTATAAAACTGGATACTACTCAAATGTGCATTAGTAAGGGAATGAATAAACAATTTATATATGTATATAGTCATAGAATGGAATGTTACTCAGATATAAAAAAGAGCACATTATTATCCGACCAAACAACTTGGATAAATCTCAAAAGTATTATGCTAGGAGAAAAAGTTGGACACTAGAGGCTGTGTATTGCAAGCTTCTATTTAAATGAAATTCTAGCCTGGCTGGTGTGGCTCAGTGGTTGAGCGTCGACCCATGCACCAAGAGGTGGCCAGTTCAATTCCCGGTCAGGGCACATTGCCCAGGTCGTGGGCCAAATTCCCAGTGTGGGGCATGCAGGAGGCAGCCAATTTATGTTCTCTCTCATCGATGTTTCTATCTCTCTCCCCCTCTCCCTTCTTCTCACTCTAAAAATCAATAAAGAAAAAAAAAATTTAATGAAATTCTAGAAAAGGTAAAACTAAGTGACACAAAGCAGATCAGTGGTTGCAGAGGCAGTGGTAGGTGGAAGGGATTGACTGCAAAGAGGCTTAATTGGGTGGTGGTTACACAGTTATATACGTTTGTCAAATGCATCAAGTTGCACATTTAACACTGGTGAGCCTTGTTCTAAATTATATCTCAATAAAGCTGGTAAAAAACTGACCCAAAGATATAGAAACATCTGAGTAGACAAAAAAAAAACAAAACCCAAACTATTAAATAAATCACAGCAACTTAAAAGCAAACCGGTTCCACATAGTTCATTTGCTTATTCACGCACTCCTTCACTACATATCGAGTTCCTACAGTACACTGGGAACTATTACACAGCAGTTTGGGTAATGCAGCAAATAAACAGGCCACGTCCTTGATTTCTTGGAGCTTCTATTCTGGTCAGGGAGAAAGAATGCACAGATGAAAACTGATGCCAGTGATGGGTCCTATGGGAGAAAAGTGAGCATGGGTTGGGAAGCCAGAGGAGATGCTGGTGGTGGTCAGGAGAGACCTCTTCAATGAGATGACATTCCAACAAAGGTCAGAAGGAATGAGGGACAGGCATGTCCCTGGCCCTGGGAGCAATAAATGCAAGGACTCCAAAGAGGGCTGTGTTGGGTATAGTCAGGGAAGCCAGTGTGGTTTGAGCAGGCTCAGAAAGCAAAAAGTAGCAAAAGTGGAGGTCGGAGAGCACGCTGAAGGCCAGAACATAAAGGATCTTGGATCTCGTGTCAATGAAATGGGAAGCCTTTAACCTAAGCAGAGAAGCAACACAACTGGACTTTTGTTTCAAAGATTCTTTCTGTCAGCTGTGTATAGAACAGACCAGAGGTGGGGAACTCATCCCGAAAGGGCTGGATGGTAAATATTTTAGGTTTGTAAACCTTATGGTCTGTGTGGAGAATACTCAGCTCTGTTGTAACTGCATGAAACAACCACAAATAATATAGTATAAGTAAAGGAGTGTAGCTCTTTTTCAATGAAAGTTTATTTACAAAAACAGGCCATGGGCTGGATTTAATCTTGTAGTTTGTCAATCCCTGGATTGACTATAGGGGGCCAAGGGTTAAGGTAGGCCCTGAAATAAAACTGAGCAAGAGGTGATGGTCATCTGGATCAGGGTGTAGCAGGGAGGTGATGAGATGTAGTCAGGTTGAGGCATATGGTGAAGGTAGTTAACAGGATTTGCTGGTGGATCTGATGCGGGGTGTTGCAGGAGGTTTTGTCCTGACTGGAAGAACTATTCAATGAGAGAGGATCAGGTTGGAGTAGAGATTACAGATAAAAAAAATCAAGAATTTGGATTAGATTTGTTAAATTGGGGATATCTCTGAAATATAGGGTGTCCCAAACAATGTATACACAAAAAAGTGTAATTATAATGCCAGTGTTTATTAAAATACATTTCATTTTCAAAATGTAATAGGATCTACAGACACCCTGTGTACATTTTTGGGGACACCCTTTTCTATTCAGTTGAACAGAGGAGCTGCAGCACCCGAAAAAGGGTGGGTTTACAGAAATACGTTTCAAGAGTATTCAATTTGTATAGATGGTCTTTAAAACCATGGGAACGAATGAAGTCTGGGGAGATCTGAGAGAAAGAAAAAATAGGTGTGAGGGCAGTTTTTACAAGGTGCCTCCCAGATTTTCCAGGACAGATCATCCTAGTCTTACATTCACTGTTCCACCACAAAGAAGAACACACTCCACTCCTTGGTTCATGAAGCTAGCATGCCTTGATACCCAGATCAAGAATTTATAGGCCAAGCTCATTTATGAGCATATACATTTTTTCCCCCCAATCCTCACCCGAGGATATTTTTCCATTTGTCTTCAGATAGAATGGGAGTGAGGGAGGGAGAGAATAAGGGAGAGAGAGAGAAACATCAATGTGAGAGAGACACATTAATTGGTTGCCTCCCTCATGACCCCAACCAGGACTGGAGACCAAACCGAAGTATGTGCTCTTGACCAGAATCAACCCGGAGACTGGTCCGAGGGCTGACACTCTAATCGCTGAACCAAACTGGCTAGGGCAAGAGCATATACAGATTTTGAAAAGTCTTAATATATTAACAAAGCAAATCTAGATGTTTATAATATTATCAAGTAGTGTTTATCTCAGGAATACAAAGTTGGCTGAATATTATTCTATTAATATAACTTACCACTTAACAGATTAAAGAAGAAAGGAACCTAAGACGATCTGAATAGGAAAGTATTTGATAAACATTCTTGGTTGAAAAGAAGAAAACCCAATTTTAAAAGCAGAGCAGGACTGGATGGGAACTTCCTGAGACTGACAAAGGTGTCTACCAAACCTGTCATACTTAACAGAGAAACATTAAAAGTATTTCTTTCAATCCTCACCCGAGGATATTTTTCCATTTATCTTCAGATAGAATGGGAGGGAGGGAGGGAGAGGGTGAGGATGAGGGAGGGCGAGGGCCAGAGAAAGAAAGAAACATCGATGTGGGAGAGACACATTGATTGGTTGGTTGCCTCCAGCAGGACCCCAACCAGGTCTGGGGACCAACTGCAACCGAGGTACATGCCCTGGACCAGAATCAAACCCAGGACTCTTTGGTCCATGGGCTGACGCTCTAACTACTGAGCCAAACAAGGCAGGGCCAAAAGCATTTCTTTAAAAAGAAATCAAGAATGAAACAAGGGCATGTGTCATTATCTTTTTATCTGATGTTACACTGGAGGTCCTAACCAGTGTGGTGGGATTTTATTTATTTATTTTTATCCTTACCTGAGGAGGTTTTTGCATTTATCTTCAGATAGAGCGGGAGGGAGAGAGGGAGGAAGAGAGAGAGAGAGAAACAGTGACGAGAGAGAGACACATCGACTGGCTGCCACCTACATGACCCCAACAGGGGCCAGGGAATAACTGCAACTGAGGTACATGCCTGGGAACCGAACCCAGGACTCTCTGGTCTCAGGCCAACATTTTAACCGCTGAGCCAAATCAGCCAGGGTGTGTGATGGGATTTTAAAGAGACACAAAGGTCTGGCCAGTTTGGCTCAGCTGTTATAGCATCGGCCTGCTCATGGAAGGGTCTCGGGTTTGAGTCCTGGCCAAGGGTCCATACCTGGGTTGCAGGTTCAATCCCAGGCCCTGGTTGGGAGGCGACCAATCGATGTATCTCTGTCACATCTCTCTCTCTCTCTCTCTCTCTCTCTTCCTCCCTCCTTCCCTCCTTACTCTCTCTCTCTTCCTCCCTCCTTCCCTCCTTACACTCTATCTAAAAATCTATGGAAAAATATCCTCAGGTGAGGATTAACAACAACAACAAAAGAAACACAAAAACTGCCATTATTCACAATGATGATTTGCATAGAAACCACAAGATAAATTATTAGAAATAAGATAATTTTTGGATACGTAATCAATATTTAAGTCATCATTGTCAGGAAACAGTTACAAATGTGATTAAAAGAGAAGTTATTTAACTCACCATCCCACAGCTAGTAAAGCTTGGGCTGGAATGGAAGCAGGCCGAGTTAGGCTGCCCTGGGGCGGTGACCACCCCAGTTGTGTGCATGCCCATCCAGGACTGAGCGGAGCAGGCAGTGTTCCTCTGCCGGCAGGGAAAGGCTCACCATGGGCAGGACAGAGGCCTGCAGCGAGGCAATGATGATGGACTTCGTCCTCTTGTCCTCCTGGCTTGCTGGGGGCAAGATCTCCACGAGGTTCATCTCCTCTTTGGCTTTCTCTCCCAAGCAAATCTGAGAGGGTTGACAACAGTAGGGCACTTCATCACCGGGGGCAGAGAAGGGAAACCTTGTTGCATCTGTTGGGACCAGAGACTCTCTCTTGCTCCTCTCTAGCAGTTTGAGTCCCTCCTCCCCGCCTTGGGGTCTCGGCGACACTTACCGTACTGAGCAACACCTTACAGTCTTGCTTCCCCTCCTTCTGCGGTTTGAAGGTCCAGGTCCGCTTCTCTTGGTTTAACTCACAGCCTGGAAGGGAGAGGGAAGGACATAGGGAGGGGCGGGCGGGCTCAGGCAGGGGCCCTTTCCTCCAGGCAGCCCTCGCCCTGGGGACGCGCCGCCAGCATCCCGTGCGCACTTACCCCAAAGCGCGGCTGTCGCGGCCCTGTCGGCAGTGCTGCTGGTGCGGCTGCGGTTCATGGTTCGAGGGGAGTCGGCGGTGCGCTGCGGAGGGGCCAGGTGAGGCGAGGCCGCACAGGGCGGCCCCGAGCTCGGCTAGGACCCGACAGAGGCCTGGGAGAGACCAGGTCCGGACTCCCGCTGCCCACCCCGCACCCAGGGGAAGTGCGCGCCGGTGCCCCCCGGGTCCCACTCACCCCGGGCCCGCCGCCCTCACCGTGGCTGCTGGGAGGGCGCGGGTCCCGCCCTGGGCCCGTCCTCGGAGCACTCCCCTGGGCTCTCACGCCGGCCTAATCCCGCCTCACCCGGGCCGCCCTCCGCAGCTGTTATGAGGCCTGCGAAGGGCACGGATGGTGTCTAATCAGCCCTAACGGAGAGGACCTTCTCTCCCGCCCCGTCCTGCTATCCTTTCCTCTGGTGTGGCTCAGAAGCACCTGGTGGGGCTGTTAAAACGCACGTGCCACAGGCCCCACCGCCAGTTCCCCATTGAGCAGGGCCCAGTTCATTTGTACTTCTAACTGTTCCCAGGTGAGGTGGGTGCTTCTGGTCCAGGACCACACAGACCTACGAGCATTTACTGAAGTCTACCGCACCAGCTGCCCAGCTTGGAGAGGCTTTGCCACCAGGAGGAAGCAGCAGCATTCGTGCTTCTTTGTGCTCACCGCCTTTCTTCTTGTCCTTCCCTCCCGCTGGCTGCTGGACCCCAAGACAGTTGTCCCAGAGAAGAGAGCCCTGTTTCCAGAAGGATGGTTTGTCCCAAGGACAGAAAAGGGTAGGCATCAGGAAGCGACTCGAGAGGCAGCTGCGGCAGCTGTCGAAGAGTCCACAGCGAGAGTGAATCGATCAGGGCCAAACCATTGAACAAATTGCCACCTTGTCAGAAACAACCTGGGGGGCTGTCATTGCATTCTCATTCTTCACCCCCATCCCAGAAACTTCTCACCTACAGGTAAGTTTCACTGATTTTCAACAAAGGTGCCAAGGTAGTTACAGGGAAAGAATAGTCTTTTCCAAAAGTGGTGCTGGAGGATGTAACTGGATCTCTCTCTCCCTGGAACCCTGATTGGAGCTTCTGTTTTGCAGCAATCAGCTTTTTAAAAATATCAACTTTATTGAAAAATAACATATTTATAACTGCATGCATTTAAAGTATATAGTAAGATGAATTTTGACAAATGTACACTCCTGTGTACTCATCACCAGTCAAGTTATTTCCATCACTCCCTCAAATGTTCTGGTTTCCTTTGCAGTCAATATCTGCCTCTTTATTTATTTATTTTAATTTTTTTCTTCATTGATTTTAGAGAGAGAGGAAAGAAGAGGGAGAGAGAGATAGAAACATCAATGAGACAGAACATTGATTGCCCACCTCCTGCATGCCCCCCACTGTGGATTGGGCCCACAACTTGGGCATGTGCCCTGAACGGGAATTGAACCAGTGACCTCTTGGTGCATGGGTCAATACTCAACCACTGAGCCACACCGGCTGGGCTTTTTTCTCTTTTGAAACATATCTTTATTGTTGAATGTATTACAGATGTCCCCCTTTTTCCCCATTGAACCCCCCCTCCCTGCTTCCACTCCCCTCCTACTTTCCCCACACTATTGTCTGTGTCCATTGATTATGCATATATGCATATAAGTTCTTTGGTTAATCTCTTCCTGCCCCCCCCCTTCCCTTTGAGGTTCATCAGTCTAGCAACCAATTTGTACTTCTTAATCCCTTCACCTTTTTTACCCATCTCTCTCCAGACCCCCTCCATCTGGCAACCAACAAAAAGTTCTCTGTAACTATGAGTCTGTTTCTGTTCTGCTTGCTCATTTTGTTTATAGATTCAATTGTTGATAGATATGTATTTATTGCCATATTTTTGTTCTTCTTCAAGAAAACCAGTCAACATTTCATATAATACTGGTTTGGTGGTGAAAACTTAGCTTTTTCTTTTTTGGGAAACTCTTTATATGTCCATCAATTCTAAATGATAGCTTTGTAGGATAGAGTAATCTTGGTTGTAGGTTGTTGTTTTTCATCACTTTGAATATCTCGTGCCACTCCTTTCTGGCCTGGAAAGTTTCTCTTGAGAAATCAGCTGACAGTCTTATGGGAACTCCCTTGTAGGTAACTAACTGCTTTTCTCTTGCTGCTTTTAAGATTCTCTCTTTGTCTTGAATCTTTCACATTTTGATGATGATGTGTCTTGGTGTAGGCCTCTTGGGGTTCATCTTATTTGGGACCCTCTGTGCTTCCTGGACTTGTATGTCTGTTTCCTTCACCATGTTAGGGAAGTTTTCTGTCATTTTTTCAAATAGGTTTTCAATATCTTGCTCTCTCTCTTCTTCTGGCACCCCTATGATACAAATGTTGGTACACTTGAAGTTGTCCCAGAAGCTCCTTACACTATCCTCATTTTTTTGAATTCTTTGTTCTGATTGGGTGTTTTTTGCTTCCTTATATTTTATTTTTATTTTATTATTTATTTATTTACGTACTTATTTATTTATATATTTGTTACAGATGTTTCTCCTTTTTTACCCCATTGACACCCTCCTCCCTATCCCCCCCGGCCCTGTCCCTGGATTTGTTGTTCATGTTCATTGGTTATGCATACATGCATATAAGTTCTGTGGTTTATCTCTTCCCACCCCACACCAACCCCTCTTCTGAGGATTGTCAATCTGTACCCTACTTCTGTGTTTCTGGGTCTACCCTATTCCTCAGACTGTTATATTCATTATATTCCATATATAAGTGAGATCACATGGTATTTGTCTTTTTCTGCTTTCCAGGTCCCCCCATGTTGTCTCAAAGGATGAGAGATCTTTCTTTCTTACAGCTGCATAGTACTCCATTGTGTATATGTACCACTGCTTTTTATCCATTGCATCTACTGATGGACACTTGGGCTGTTTCCAGATCTTAGCTATGGTAAATAGTGCTGCTATGAACATGGGGGTACATATATTCTTTCTGATTGGCGTTTCAGGCTTCTTAGGGTATATTCCTAGAAGTGGGATCACTGGGTCAAATGGCAGTTCAATTTTTAATTTTTTGAGGAAGCCATATTGTTTTCCATAGTGGCTGCAGCAGTCTGCATTCCCACCAGCAGTGCACTAGAGTCCCCTTTTCTCCACAACCTCGCCAACACTTGTTTGATGATTTATTGATGGTGGCCATTCTGACAGGTGTGAGGTGATACCTCATTGTTGTTTTAATTTGCATCTCTCTGATGTTTAGTGATGTTGAGCATTTCTTCATGTCTCTTGGCCATTTGTATGTCCTGTTTGGAGAGGTGTCTATTCAGCTCCTCTGCCCATTTTTTAATTGGGTTCTTTGTCTTCCTTTCGTTGAGTTGTATGAGTACTCTATATATTTTGGAAATTAACCCCTTATCTGATGTATTATTGGCAATGATGTTCTCCAATACAGTGGGTTGCCTTTCCATTTTGATGGTTGTTTCTTTTACTGTGCAGAAGCTTTTTAGTTTGATGTAGTCCCATGTGTTCATTTTTCCCTTTGTTTCTGTTGCCTTAGGTGATGTATCAGTGAAAATTCTGCTGCGTATGATGTCCGAAATTTTGTTGCCTAAATTTTCTTCTAGAATTTTTATGGATTCATGGGTCACATTTAGTCTTTTATCCATTTTGAGTTTATTTTTGTGTATGGTATAAGTTGATGGTCTAGTTTCATTTTTTTGCATGTAGCTGTCCAATTTTCCCAACACCATTTATTAAAGAGGCTGTCTTTACTCCACTGTATGCTCTTGCCACCTTTGTCAAATATTAATTGAGCATAATAAGTTGGGTCCATTTCTGGGTTCTCTATTCTGTTCCACTGGTCTATATGCCTGTTCTTGTGCCAGTACCAGGCTGTTTTGATTACAGTGGCTTTGTAGTATAACCTGAATTCTGGTATTGTGATCCCACCTACTTTGTTCTTCTTTTTCAAAATTGCTGTGGCTATTCGAGGTCTTTTTTGGTTCCATATGAACTTTTGAAGTATTTGTTCTAGTTCTGTGAAATATGTCATTGGAATTTTGATGGGGATTGCATTGAATCTATAGATTGCTTTGGGTAGTATGGACATTTTAATGATGTTAATTCTTCAAATCCATGAACAAGGTATGTGCTTCCACTTTTTTATATCTTCCTCTATTTCTTTTTTCAATGTCCTGTAGTTTTCTGGAAAGAGGTCCTTTACTTCTTTGGTTAAGTTTATTCCTAGGTATCTTAATTTTTTTGCCACGATGGTAAATGGGATTGTTTTTTCAGTTTCTCTTTCTGTGAGTTTGTCATTGATGTATAAGAATGCCATCAATTTCTTGACGTTACTTTTGCATCCTGCTACTTTGCCAAATTCATTTATTAAGTCTAGTAGATTTTTGATGGAGTCTTTAGGGTTTTCTATGTATAATATCATGTCATCTGCAAATAATGACAGTTTCACTTCCTCCTTTCCAATTTGGATCCCTTTTATTTTTTCTTTATGTCTGATTGCTGTGGCTAAGACTTCCAGTACTATTTAAATAAGAGTGACAAAAGTGGACATCCCTGTCTTGTTCCTGTTTTTAAGGGAAATCCTTTTAGTTTCTGCCCATTGAGTATGATGTTGGCTTTAGGTCTTTCATACATGGCCTTTATTATATCAAGATATGATTCCTCTATTCCCACATTGCTGAGAGTTTTTTTTTTTTTTTTTATCAGAAATGGATGCTGGATTTTGTAGAATGCTTTTTCAGTGTCTATTGATATGATCATGTGGTTTTTATTCTTCAATTTGTTTATGTGGTGTATCACATTTATTGACTTGCGAATATTGTACCAGCCTTGCATCCCTGGGATGAATCCCACTTGGTCATGATGAATAATTTTTTTGATGTATTGCTGGATCCGATTTGCTAGTATTTCGTTCAGAATTTTGGCATCTATGTTCATCAGCGATATTGGCCTGTAGTTTTCTTTCTTTGTAGTGTCTTTTTCTGGTTTTGGAATTAGAATTATGCTGGCCTCATAAAACGAGTTTGAAAGTCTTCTTTCTTCTTGAATTT